AGCAACTTGTCTGTTCCCGTTCCCCGATTCCCCAGCGCTGTTCCCCTCCCCCAATTCCCCAATAAAATCTTTTTAAAAAATAGTAATAATAAGTGCATGTGACTAGTGGACAACAAAGTCTTGTCTGGTCTCGTCTGGCCCTTGTGGGTCTCAGGGCAGCACTAGACATCTCTTTTTCTCCACTGCTGGAAAGAATTTCAGTCAGGGTATTTAAGCATTTCATCTTCTATGTAAAAGCTATAAAAGGAGCACAAACTTCAAAGGAAGTGGGAAGAAGTTATGGGTTTATATAATGGTTTGGATGACTTGAATCAATATTTTCTTGATCTTCCCACAATGATGATCAAAAGACTAAGACCAACCTGTGCCCTGCCTCTCACTTGTCTCCTAAAATTCCTTCCCATGTCTCTTCTCTCGTGCAGCTTGCGGGTTGTTTGGCCTCGTTAATGATCCTGATGGTCATATTAGCCACCGGATTCCTCTTTGAATCATTACCCCAGGTGTGTAGCTTGGACTTGGTGTGAGGTTTTTCCACGTGTACTGAGTTTGCTATTTGTTTATATTTTTGTGGCTGTCGCATGGGTTTTTACAGGAACCCTAGCAGGGTGGTAAGAGAAAGGGCCAAGGACCAAATGGCGAGGACCAAGATCCTGCTCCACAATCTACCAGCAACTGGGACCTTGGGAAAGCCACCTGAACATCTCTGGGTCTTAGTTTATCTACAAAGTGGGAAGTCGGAGTGGCTAATCTTCAAAGTTCCTCCTCTCTTTAATCTTCTATGACCTTATGCTTCCATTTAAAATCTGAGATGGCCTACGATCATATTTGTCTACTGATATATTTAATCTAATAGAAATCAAGAACAATACAGAGGAGAGAAAATCATAATGTAGAAAGATGGGTGAAATAATTCCTTGAGTGCCAAGTTTAACTCTAAACTCTTGACCACCATTCAGGTTTGCTACTAGAATATAAGCTTGGTTTTCCAAGACCCATTTTAGTTAATCAAGTCCTGAAAATCCAGGTGTTCATGGCTCCAAACACACCATCACTGCCACGTAGGAAGTGAGTGGGAGAGGACGTGGGGAGGGCAGAGGAGCACATTGAGGAACCAGCAGAGGGGACTCTTGGGACACAAGAAGAGAGGTTAAGTGTGGATGTACTGTGTTTCAGGCTGTGCTGTCGGCCATTGTTATCGTCAACTTGAAAGGAATGTTTATGCAATTCTCAGATCTCCCCTTCTTCTGGAGAACCAGCAAAATAGAGCTGGTAAGTAACAAAGGTGATTGTGAGGTGAATATGTCATAGCAACGCATGGATTAGTGCTGATAAAAATGTGAGAAAGATAAGTTTATGCAGTCAGTTATTACATGCAGTGTCCAGTTAGGCAAGGTTAGGTATCGTGTGTGTGTTTGTGTGTGTGTGTGTGTGTGTGTGTGTGTGTAACTCTAGACAAGTTTTAACATGATTCTACATAAATCCTTCTGTCTTTTGTTCAGACCATCTGGCTTAGCACTTTTGTTTCCTCCTTGTTCCTGGGATTGGACTATGGTTTGATTACTGCCGTGATCATCGCACTGATGACTGTGATTTACAGAACACAGAGGTGACTGCACAGATTGGGATGGGTATGAGTGTCCAGCCTAAGATTGCAATGTGGACTTTAAATGTATTTGTCAACAGACATCACTAGACTGTGAGCATCTTGATTGTGGAGGTGATGTTCCTGGAGTCGAGTACCAAGCACATAGTGTGTGTTCTCTGAATGCTTTTTGAGGGACTCCACACAGAAAACCAGCTAATATTTGTAGTGTATAGTCTAACCCACAAAGCACTTGCACCTACATGCTAAGAAGCACCAAGCAAGACCATGGAATGTCAAATCCAAGACCTTGAGCTGTATTCTGGCTCTGCCAAGCTCTCTCACCTTGAACAACTCACCTAATCCCATGGGACCTTAGTTTCTCAAACCAAACTTAACTTCTATGCTAACTTGAGATTTTTGTTTCCTCCCCATACCTTCAGTTGACTGCCCCCACTCCCATGAGTGAGAAACTCTTATTAGAAACCAAAAGAAAACCTCCTCTCCTACTTTAGACTTAAAATAGGACTATAATTCTATCTACTGAATGGCATGAGCACTTGAGTTACACATGGCCCTGGCATGACTTGAACTCTTCAATTTTGGTCCCATCTTTAAATGCCCGAGTCTTTTGTCCTAACTAGATGGTTTGTGTGGTATGTGTGTGGTGTGGGGTGTGTGTGTNGCTGCTGTGAGCCGCCGTGAGCGGCTGTCCAATGGTCTGCAAGCGACTGCCTCACCTGGGAAGACCGCAATGATAAAACCAACATGAGCCAGTGAAGCGACATCCTCCACAACTAGACTGAAGAACAAAAGGACAGCAACTTGTCTGTTTCCCTTCCCCAATTCCCCAATGCTCTTCCCATCCCCCAATTCCCCAATAAAATCTTTTTTTAAAAAAATACGGAAAGTTAATGTGGGAACAGATTTGGCTTGGCTAACAAATTGAAGCTCATTTTTGAGGCATTTGAATTTTCATTTAAAAGTACATTTTTATTTGTGTCTGTTTTAGGTGGTAATGGGAACTGGCATTTCAGCTGGGTTTAATTTACATGAATCATACAATGTGGATGTCGTGGGAACACTGCCTCTGGGGTAAGAAACTAGTTTTAAGTAACAGTGTGACGAATAATCAGTGGATCTGTTAATGTTTCTAACTCCTGTTATGGTATTCTTGCAGTGAAACACCTTTCTTTTTTCTACATATCAAGCTAGCATATGTGGGGTTTCTTTTTATTGTGGTAAAAAACACATAACTTAAAATTTACCATCTTAACCATTTTTAAGTGTACAGTTCACTAGTGTTAAATATATTCACATGGTTGTGAAATTGATCTGCAGAACTTTTTTCATCCTGCAAATCTGAAACCTCATATCCATTAAACAATAACTCTCCATTCTCCCTTCCCCCCAGCCCCTGGCAACCACCATTCTACTTTTTTGTCTCTGTGAATTTGACTACTATAGGTACCTCATATAAGTGGAGTCTTTTTGTGACTGGTTTATTTCATTTACCATAATGTCCTCTAAGTTCATCCATGTTGTGGCATGTAACAGGATCTCCTTCTTTTTAAAGCTGAATAAAATTCCACAGTATGTATGTACTAAATTTTGTTTATACATTCATCCACCAATGGACATTTCAGTTGCTTCCACCTGTTAGCTATTGTGAGTAGTGTTGCTATGAACATGGGTGTGCAAATATCTCTTCAAGACCCTGCTTTCGGTTCCTTTGGGTATATACCCAGAAGTGAGATTCCTGGACCATATGGTAGTTCTACTTTTAACTTACTGTTTTCCATGGTGGTTGTACCATTTTACAGTTCCACCAACCCTGGCATGTGCCTTTTTGTTTTGTTTTGTTTTCCATTATTTAGCACTTACCAGTTTTTTAACTCTCTCCTTGGGTGAGATAGGAATTAAGAGCAAAGAGATCTAAGCTTAGCCCCTGCCACTTGCTAGCTATGTGACCTTGAGCAAGTCACATATCCTCTCAAAGCCTCACTTTCCTCTCTCGCCAGGTAAGCATGAGAGGATCATTGTGAGAGCTCTAGGAAATAAAACATGTAAAGCAGTTAGTGTAGTGCCTGGCATACCCAGTTAATGTTCAAGACAGTAATTAAAAGTTCTGTGTGTCATTATGTCAGTGAGTTTTCTAGTTTCAAGTCATATATTATTTCTTTGCTTCATCTACTTTCTCTTATCTAATTCTACATTTAAAATTTTTTACTATTCTCTTCATATTTGAAGGAGGAAAAGTTACTACGAGCCTATCCTGGTCTCACTCTGTCCCTCCCTGACTCTCTCTGTTTGTCTCCGTATCACTCTGTCTTTCAGTCTCTTGTACTCTCTCCTTCTCTCTCCACCCTCTTCTCTCTTTCCAAAAGAACAGAGTCAGACCTTCGCTTGCATGTTGGAGACTGACAAACACGGCACATCCCATCAGGCCTTGCTCTCATTCCATCTAAAAATCTCCTGGAAAGCACAGGCAGCAGGAGTGGTTCTTAAGACCAAGTTCCCCCCACAGAGCCAGTGTTGAAGGACGAAGCATGCCCTCTACCTCAAAACAATAAATTGCCACGTGAACAAGTGACTTGTGACTCAATGTAAAGGTCTAACACAGTAATAACTCTTGCTTTTCTATTTGGACTTATAATTTATAAAATACTGTATTATCCACCATCTCAGTTACCGCTCAAAGTAGCACTATTGGCAAATGTGTTATCCCCTTTTACAGATAAGAAATTTCATGTATTCTCATTTATTCAGCTTGTGTTTATTGAGTGCCTGCTTTGTGCCAGGGACACAGCAGTTAAAAACAGAAGCAAACATGAAAGCGAAAAAGTCTTTATTCTCACGGAGCTTATATTCTACTGGGGGAGACAGACAATAAACAAATAGTGAGAAGTGCTGTGATGAAAAGGGAAGCCAGGTAAGTGATAAGAGGGGCTGGGCTTGCTGTTGTAGGTAGGGTATCAGAGAAGGCGACATTTGAGAGACATGAATGAGGTTTCGTGACTCTAACTGAGTCCCAGCCTGGACCCAGAACTCAGTCTTCCGATACCCAGTTGTGTACACTTTCCATTACATCACACCTGAGTCACTACCATAATTAGTCATGTGATAAACTTTAGTCTTTAGCTGGATCCAAAAGATAGCCCTATTTAATAGCTAATCACAAATAATCTGAATAAATATGAATTATTACACTTAAATTTCTCCTTTTAAAAATTCATGAGGCCATAATTTCTACCTAATACCTTCCTTTCTCTCTATGTGTGAAACCAAAACTTTAAAAAACAAACAAACAAACAAAAAAAACTACATTTTTACCTTTTTGAAATTTGTCTACCTTATCTTTCTGTTGCCCCAAACCAAGCAGGAAACAAATAATGCCTACCTAACTACCTAACTACATACTGTTTCAGTTATCTGTGACTCTCTGCCAAATAACAAACTCCTTCTTTAGGCGGTGGCTCAGGGCAACAAGACAGAAAAGCAGAAGCCAATTGACCTAAAGCACTCACACACATCACTTTCTCCACATTCTGTTGGTCAGAGTGAATCACAAGATTCGGCCAGAGGGGAAACAGATTCCACCTCTAGACGGGAGAGTAGCACAGACAAGTGTGGGAGAGATTGTCGGGTCTCATATTCAAAAGCACACAGTGCAGTGTCCAGGAAGTGACAGTTAGCTGTGAAAGATCCCAGTCATGGCAATATATCCTGTCTCTTGCTTTACTTTCCTTAACACATTCCAAAATATATCCTTTTCTCATATTCTTATTCCTCAGACCCAAAGCTGCTGCTAGGACTTCCCTCTTGGTTAACGCTTATGCAGCAAAGTACAAGGGAAAGACACTAAATTTTACAGTCAGACCGCCCTGGGTTTGACTTCCTGCTCCATCTTGGGCAAATTACTTGACATCTGCAAGCATCTATTTTTTTCACCTATAAATTGGGACAATAATGGTACTTATCAAATAGGATTGTTGTGAGGACAAATGAGATGACATATGTGAAGCATGTAGCCCATAATCTAGGCTTTGTGTTTGTCAGGTTCCTTTCCTCTCTCCCCTTCCTTTTCCTGTACTCAAAACTTGATTCATCCCCTTTGTCATTGTGATTTGCCATCGTAAGAGAAATAGGCCCAGGGAGGCGGATTCTTCATGGTGTCTCCTGTGCTTCATTGATGAGCTGTTCAACCTTGCACAAGTGGCTTAACCTCACTATACCTCATATTCCTCATCTGTAAAATGGGAATTAAAATGGTGCCTGACTCACAGGGCTATTGGAGATAAATAGGCACAGAACCTGGCACAAAGGAAGCGCCTAATGAATGATTGTTATTATAAGGATAATAATATCGTGCATCGATTAATTGATTATTGTTATTATTTAACCCCATGCCTTGTATTGCAGCAGGTCCCTTTGATAGCCTCTATTGCGCCTTCCCCTACACCACTCTAGGGAATCCCTGTTCTGTTCCTTTAGGACAAAGGTGCCAAACTACAACAATGGACCACAGAAATTAGGTTCCCTGTGTGGGGCTCCAGGAGTCATATTTTTGGCCCCTTCAGACTCCCAGGATTCCCAGGTGGGACCCAAGGAGTATAATCTGCTGCTGCTCCTTTGCCGTGTTAGAAACTCACCTAAAGAGGTTCTGAGAAGAAGCAGGGCCCTTACATGAAATAACAAGGGAGAGCAGTGAGTACCTACTGTTGCTTGGACAGTAGTTCTCCTCTAAGATAGCCCTTGTCCAACACCCTCCCTGCCCTCAGACTTTGGTTCGAATGTCTTGTGGCATCTGAGCACTTTGCTGACCCTCTCTTCTTCCTGTTCTGTGTTTTACTTACACCTGCCATACAGGTGCCATGAGGTATAAGGTTACTCCTCTTCTAAACACAATGGCATCTGATCTCTGTTGATAACCCATTCAGGTAGAAAACTGGGCCTGGAAAGAACCCCTGTGTGTTCAGGAAGGCCCTCCTTTTTGCCAAACTAGAGCAAACAAATATCCAAGCATTCATCACCTCCTTTGCAGATAATGCCCCTCTAAATTGTTCCCCTCTAGTTGTGTGCTTTTTTGAGTGGTCACAGCACTTGGGTTAAAGTCAGCTTGACCTTTCAGGCTCCTACCTCCAGCCAATCCGGACACCAGCCTCTTCCACCTTGTGTACGTGGATGCCATCGCCATAGCCATCGTTGGATTTTCGGTGACCATCTCAATGGCCAAGAGCTTGGCAAATAAACATGGCTACCAGGTCGATGGCAATCAGGTAAAAACCATTCATTTCCTGCAGGTGTTTCATACTAATACAATCATCATGCTCTACTATGACAGGCAAATGAACTGGATTTCTCTGTCTTGGTAGAGAAACTTTTAGTGTGATAATGGATGTATTTGAAGCATGAATTTATTCAACACTACAATTTTTTCATGATTGATGTGAGTTAGATCATCAGAACACTGAAGTCCAGAGTTCTACCTCACCTCACGGGCAGGGGTCCAGCTGGAAAGGCGGAATCTCCAGTCTGAGGTTTATAGTTTGCCATTCTCCTATTGATGTCATCACTATTTTAAAGTTCACAGGCTGCTGAAATAAATCATAAAATTAAATTAAAAAATAAAAATAAACCAAGTTCACAGACTGAGAACAAAATGTATTCCAAGAACCATTTTTGCTCCACAGGAAGCCTACTCTTGGTCCATTAAACCCTGAGCATACGATGCATCGCTCAAACTCCACAATATATTGTTTGTCGCCTTCTGTCCTAACGTAGCTACAGATAAGGTATTTCATCCGAATGCCATGAGCTGTAATTTTGGCAGGACAATGTCTATTTTAACATGCTGTGTATTTCTAAAATGAGACTAGATGCTCTCCGTTTACCTGAAACGCAGTGATTCAACCAGGAAGATCAGAAGTAGCCTTGAGAATGTCCCAGGAGGACACTGGCATATACTCACTGATGAGCAGGAGCCAGACATTCCAAAGGTGTCAGTAGTCCTATACACCAAAAACTTTCTCTTAAACAACCAACATAGTTCGGTCCTTTTACTGCTGTGCTTTTTTTTAAAGCATTATTTGTGTAGAGAGTGTGTTTGAGAAAAGGAGGACTTGGTGGTGAGCATAGCATTTATCTCCAACACAATAAAAATTCAGTGTTTCCCCCACTCCACCTTAACTTACGTAATAAGTCCTATTTTGATCTCATGCTAAACTAAACAAATTCTTACATCTGAAAGGAGAATGAAGAGACAGACTGTACTGCTGAAAATGTGTATTATATGGGCCATCATGTCTTTCTTTCTGAAGAATAACCGATATCTTTTGTGCTTTGTTTCCACATGAAAAAGGAACTCATTGCCCTGGGACTGTGCAATTCCACTGGCTCACTCTTCCAGACTTTTGCAATTTCATGCTCCTTGTCTCGAAGCCTTGTTCAGGAGGGAACTGGAGGGAAGACACAGGTGTGTATACAACTGGCCTCTCAAGACTGGTGATTTGGGCAGTAATTAAATTTTAATCCCTTGATACTATTCTGAACCCAAACAAAGCTGCTCTGCCTGAAGATCCATGCTCCAGTGAGCTGTATAATGAATCAGAGAAAGGCATGATTGGTTGAAGCAAATCACAAGGAACTGAATCTATAGGAAAGAGGCATATTCTCTAGGTAAATAAAACACTTATACAATACTCCCTGCTACCAGTAAACCTCTAAGTTGAGACATAGAATGTTGTCATGAAAGCCTAAGAATGAATATGAGAAGGATACCATCCAACAGGACTTTCTACAATGATAGAAATGTTCAGAATTTGCACCACCCAAGATGGCAGCCACTTGCCACATATGGCTCTTGAGCACTCAAAATAGGACTAGTGCAACCAAGATCTGAATTTTTAAATTAAAAAATAATTTTAAATCTAAATAACTACATGTGGAGCCGGCCGAGTGGCGCATTGTTTAAGAGTTGGCTTGGGACAGCAACTCTAAGCAGCAGGGCCCCTGTTTGGATCCCACTAGAGGGCCAGTGACACTGTGCCCTCTATAGCTAAGATGGTGAACAACAGCTCGACCTGGAGCTAGGCTGCNTAACAAACTCTAAAAACTTAATATTTTTCACACAGTGCTGTATAATTAGCAATCAATAACAGAATATAGCTTTAAAACTCCCATATGTTTAGAAACCAAAAAACTGCTTCTAAATAATCCATGGATAAAGGAAATTATGAAATAATTAGAAACAAATGACAGTTAAAGTACTACATTTTAAAACTGTTGCGATGCTGCCAAAGCTGTAACCGGACAGAAAGACCTATATCCTTTGGAGGTATTTATGTGCCACGCACAGCAGTGAGCCAACAGATAATGGCACTTGCCCTCTTGGAACCTACAGTCCAACGAGAAGACAGACAATAAACCACGAATTGCATAAATATATAACTAATTACAAATTGTGTTCAGCGATATGAAGAAAAGGCACAGGCTGCTATGAAAGTTAAATAGGGAGACCTTTAGGTTAGGGGCCTAGGAAAGTCACTTTGAGGAAGTGATATTTAAATTGAGCCCTTGATGGATTAGAATGGAATCAAACTGTAGGAACATTCCCTAAATAACCAAATTCTTCATTTCCCGTAATAGCTGCTAACGTGCTTCTTACTCTGAGATTTCCCTAAATGCCTTGTCACACAGTTAGTAGAACAGACGAGCACCTGAGAATGCTCTGAGCATTAATTACCAGGCAGGTGTGTAGCCTGGGCTCAGTGATACCCTAGTTTCCCAGGGGCCAGAGGAGTACAGGGGCTGACTGTGTTTGGGGTGCTGAGACTGTAACCGTAGGATAAAATGAAATGGCTTTCCTCTCTGACTCTCCTGGGCATTTTTCCAAACTTAGCACTTTCTCTCCTTCAAAGCCCACCTGGTTCCTCTTTCATCTGATTTCATGATGATTTCTCCCTCTTTCAGCTCCTAAACGCTTTTCTGTGTGTTTACCTTTGGATTATTTTGCTGATATCAACCCTTCATCCTTTCCTAATGCAGAGGACTCAGTATAAGGATTACTTTTCTGAATTTTATAATACTACATTGACACATTAGCATATCAAAGAACACTATAAGATTGTTGGATAAGAACTACACCTTCATAGTTGTATGAGTGGGTAAAATGCCTCCTAGTTGGTGGAAGCTACAAAGAGAGATTTCAGCCTGAGAATTTCTAACTAGAAATGTCCAGTAATGGGATGGCTGGGGTGAATGAGTGCATTAGTGTCTCTGTCTATTCAGGGGCTATTGCTTGATGTAAACACCCAGTGTTCACTGTGTTACAGAGTACAGTTGCTGTGTTGCAGAATGTTAAAAACCTCAACGTGTGTTCCCTAGGCGTTGGTCTGATGGTTTTTGGTTTGCTGTTGGGTGGCAAGGAGTTTAATGAGAGATTTAAAGAGAAATTGCCGGCACCCATTCCTTTAGAGTTCTTTGCGGTAAGTCAACTTTCAGCTATTTCTGTGAGGGATTAGAGAGGGACAGGGAATTAGACCTTTTTTCTCTCAGTTCTGCCAAGAGAAGGTTAGAATTTGCCAAAAGGAACTTTTACAAATACACTGACAAAAAAGGAAAAGCATTAAAGCGTAGACATGGAGGACTTTTAAAATGTAGGCGATGACTATCCATAAATATTTTAATATGTATTATCTGTGAGTGATGAGATTAGGGAAGATTTTTCTTCCTCAGAGTTTTTATTGTCTAATTGTTCTATAATGAACACATGTAACTTTAATAACCTGAAAAGAAATGAAGCTGTTTCGATTTTGAAAAGACAAAGCTTCCCATATTTTTTTGATTCCTGGCACTCCTAGACCAAAAGAAATACCTACCATTCATTTATTGAGTAGTTAGGTCTAAACAACTTAATACATACAGAGGGTGCCAAAAACATGTATACACATTTTAAGAAAGGAAAACTGTATTAAAATTGTAATACTCGATATATACCAATAACAAAAGATAAACATAAGTCACATTTGGCTTCTGTAATTACAAAAGGTGCTCAAAGTGGTTACCATCAGTGTCCAGACACTTCTGATTAGGGCGAACTGCTGCTTGAGCAACACTGCCCAAAGTGTACACTTGTATACATTTTTTGGCACTCTCAGTCTAAGAACTGTTTGTAAAAATAATGCACATAAATTGAAATAAAATATATATTTATTATGTTCTTAAATAATCACAACTATTTATTAATGGGATGTGTGCGTCTGGTGGGCACTTCACAACTCCTCACACCTTGGAATCAGATGGACACTGCTACACTCATTTCCTGTTCACTTTGATTTTTTGAATGATGCCTGCTTTTTATCACAGCAACCAGTGAACGCCCAGATATATCTTTGCAAAGATATAATGTGGTTGAGAAGAATGCAGTAGGAACTGATACTGAAACTGTGAACTACCTCAGATTAAAAGTTTGCACAGTGTCTGACAGATGTCATATGTTTCCCTGGAAAGTCATCTTAGCTGTAGAGGATGCAGCATCACTGGCCCATGTGGGATCCAAACCAGCTGCCCTGATGCTCAGAGCTCGTGCTTTCAAGCTAACTCTTAACCAACGACCCACTCGGCCAGCTCTGGGACAGAGTCTTTATGACTCTGTTTAAACATAATTGTTTGGTTTTTTTACCATAAAAATGTGTTTGATTTGTGCATTCTACTTTACAACACATCTGTTTGTATTGATAGGAAAGCAGTGGTTTAAATTATTAAGTGGTTTAAATCAACCACTGCAAAAAGTTGATGCGCTAGGAACTCGAGCCGCATTTATCCTGTGGATTTGAATATTCTGCGCACTCCTCCAGTTTGACATGCAAACAAATACACTTACAGGTGACAAACATAATTGTGACCAGCAAAGAAAAGGGCATTTCATCAAAGGGTCTGGAGGCACCCATGCCCTGAGTCTCTCAGGCTGCTGTGTCTGGTAACAAGCTTACCTTCTTATTGCTTCCCTACAGCAGCCACCTCTGTGAGGGACTGGCTCCCTTCCTGGACCAGTCCTAGTTCCTTCTCTCCTGGATAACCCGGTCAGAAAGTTCTATAGTGATAGTTCTTAGGATGACGAAAATTGCTGTCCTTCCTTCTGTTATTTTTCTCTTCTTGTGGCTCACTAAGGATGTACTTTACACATCACCTGAGCCTATGCCCTGACAACCCAGGAAGCCTTGGGTACAATGATACATCTGTGTGATGGGCACTTTCACCCTAACCCTGACTAAAATGGGAGAAGACACCGGTAGGATGCTCTGGTCACAATCGGTGCTGCTTTCTGGGGAAAAGGTCAGCAGGAGGATTATAGATCCAAACATACATTTTATAATGAGACACTGTCATTGTGCCACCCTCACAATACACATTTCAGTGACACCTTGGCCAGAGATTCACTTCACCTGCCCCAAAGGCAAAGCCAGCTCCTGAAAAATTGTATGGCCTCTTCTGTCTGCAGTCAACTAGCCAAACACCTCAGCATGGAACAGCCCAAAATAAAGAGAAAAGAATCACAGTCCACAAGGAAACTGTGGAGTCCATTTNACCTACACAGTCCTTGGACAGCTTCCTGACACTGATGTGTACATCGATATAGATGCATATGAGGAGGTAGGACCTTTTTCTATTATTTGAAATGGTTGTAAGCATGCGATGTAATTGGATAACTAAATTTTCTTTTTACCTAGGACAAAAAGTGGAGTGAAAAGGAGGGAGATATAGTGGTCAAAGTGAAAAACCTGAACTTCGATTTACTGTCTAGATTCAGTTTTATAGTTTACACTATACCATACATTAATTACTCAATCTCCTCTTTTTTAATAAGGATAAATATATATTCTTGGAATTAAAGTATATATTTATAAAATACTGAAACTATTTGAGAAGGTGGTTTGCATGTGCATGATTTTCTTCTGATGAATTTAATCTGATGGTAAAATACTAATGTTAACCCTGTAAAATATAGGTGGTGGGGCTATGGAGTTCTCCGGCTTCATTTTTAATGGTTAAAATTATGGCTTAAAATTTCCTTGATTTTAAATGTTCTTTTCTTATGTGGAATCTCAAAGACTTTTACAAAGTCTTTTTAAACTAGCTTTGTTTCTGCTTGGGAAGAAAGTCCTAGACGCACTACAAGGTATTAGGAAATGAGACTGGTGTTAAGATTGCTGTTTTTTTTCTCCTTCCAAAGAATTATATGTGGAATTATTCATTTCCAAACTGCATTCTAGACTTTGAGGCTTCTTGATCAAATATTCACTCTGTTTCACTTGGGTCCATTTCGACTCCTGCCTCCATTCTATGAATGAACGAATATAAACCTCTGTTCACTTTATTTGCCTGCTTTTCACAGTCTGAGTGGTAGCCTGTCCACTCCTATCAAATTTTCTTTTTTCTTTTTATATATTTTCATTCTGTTTTATGGTAAAAATGAAACAAAGAAAAAGACTTTTTAAAGAATGGGAAGATTTGCATTTTTAAAGACTTTCTTCTCAGTACCCCTTCCTNTTTTCAGAGGTGGGCAATTGATTAGAAAAAAGTAATATGTTCCATTAAAATGTTTAGTATATGGCATTTTCTAACTTCAGAAGCCATGATGTTCTCGGCCCATCATGACATTTGGTAGCAGTTACTGTAAGTTTTGTGCTTCCAAATCACTTTGGTTTTTAAGAATTTCTTGATACTCTTATAGCCTGACTTCAGCATTGATCCTCTATTCTTTCTTCGTCAGGCGCACAGGATTACCTTTTTTAGCTTTCTGTCTTGTTACCAACCATTCCTACTTGGTGGCTGTGTACTTGAAAAAATGGCCGCATGATCTTTCTGGCACCGCCCAGTGTCTAAGGATACTCGGCTTCCTTTGCTTGCATCCCACGAACTATCTCCCTTATCTTATTTACTTCAGCAAATCTCCTTAGTTGATGAGATTGTTATCTCCCTTTAGGCCCTATCTAGCCTGTCTTGTCTGTCATTGCTTGCCTTTAACATCCTTCCTCTTCTTCTCTTCTTTAAATAATGATGAGGCTAAGTTATACCTAAAGCTTACCCTCCAGACTATTTCCTCAGTTCCTTGCAGAAAACACAAAATAAAAATACCATTTTTAAAAAGGTGTATTTTTTTTTCTTTTAGAATGTAAGCTCCTCAAAAGCAGGGATGGTGTTTTCTTGCATGTCCTGTTGTCCCTAGTACATTGTAAATGCTCGCTAAATATAATGATAGGAGGCAGCAAGTCTTGATGATAAGGGTGAGACACTAAAATCACCCCCCAAAAAAGACACATCAGCTTAAATTCACACGGTTTTCACTTGTTCATCAGCGAACATAAACCTGTTTTCTAATGCTCTCCATATCTCTGTTTGGTTTTCAATCCCACAGGTTTAGCCTTCGCAATGTTGGCGGCTGTCCCTCCGGTGTTTGGCCTCTACTCTTCGTTTTACCCTGTTATCATGTATTGCTTTTTTGGAACCTCCAGACACATATCCATAGGTAAAAGCTGATACGTGATATTTTAGAACCTTTCCTTTTGGATTTCGAAGTTTTGCGGTGTGTCAAAGAAATAGTATGCTTGTTATTGGAACATCTGCTTAATAGCTGCATACCCAATAGGTGCTTTAAAAAAAATACACTCCTCCCAAGATTTCTAGAACTAATAGCTTTCTTATCATCTTGGCATAATGACAAAAGACAGTTTTCTTTTATAAAAAGAGCAGTTGTTGAAATCAGTGCTTC